AAAGGATGGTATATACGGATACGAGGCTATTGATATGACTATATCTATTAAAGAATGATATATATGAATAAGGGGCTATTATGAACACACTACATATATATTAAAGGTGGTATATATGGATTAGAGGCTCTTGATAAGACACTATATATCATAAAAGGATGATATATATGGATAAGAGGCTGTTATGAACACACTATATATATATATATTAAAAGATAGTATATATGGATAAGAAGCCATTATGAACACAATATATATATATATATATTAAACGATGGTATTTATGAACAAGAGGCTATTGTGTACACGCTCTAATATATCTATTGAAGGATGATAGAGGCTATTGAGAACATACTATATGCATCTATTTTAGGTTGTTTACAACACATTATACACATTTATTAAAGGTTATGGAGAACACACTCTATATATCAATTGAAGGGTATTAAGAACACACCATATGTATCTATCAAATGGTCGTTGATATCACACTCATGTGCATCAGTTAAATGTTAAATATAACAAATTATATCCATCAATAATACTAATCCATGTTGTAGGTATTTAGAACACTCATGTACAAAGCAGCTGAGAATACCATATATAGTCATTGTACACCTCAAGGAGAAAATGCTGCACTATTGATTACAATAGGCGGCATGCAATAGACGTGTACGTATACACCTGCATAGGCCTCAATACAGCAACCTCGGATCATCATGAGCGATATCAACAACAAGTAGCAGGTAGTGCCTTGTACGAGACCGCTGGTGACTAACTACATCTCATGTGAAGAGGCAAAGGCAGGGGATGTGGGGGTGAGCTTACCATACGAATGCAAACTGAAGCACATGGGTGGTATGAGTATAACGTACACAAACAATCCGGTGCGTGCCACTCTCCGTATACAGAGCCCGTTCGCAATTAACGCTTGTATCAAGCACAGCCACAGGCGGCAGCACAGTCCCATCTGTGCGTAGCTACACCTACCATAGATACACCTACAATAGATACACCTACTAGAGATACACCTACCATATATAGCATCTCCAGGGAGAGTGAGTGGCCTGATTATACGGTGGTAAAGGCGGGGTATTTAATAGCTCTAGCTACACCTGCCATAGATACACCTACCATAGATACACCTAACATAGATACACCTCCCATAGATACACCTAACATAGATACACCTCCCATAGATACTCCTGCCATAGATACACCTACCATATATAGCATCTCCAAGGAGAGTGAGTGGCCTGGTTGTACGGTGGTAAAGGCGGGGTCTTTAGTAGCACTGGTGCCGTCTGGCGCTATCATAGCTGCACGGTTGATGGCATCCTCAGCCATGGCTATGTCGTTCTCTTTCAGGTACAGACTGGTAACACGCAGGAACATCTGCAGCCTCTGCGCCACAGTCATGTGCCTGGGAAAGTGGGCGGTGGGAATAGTGTAGGTAGTGCGTGAGATAGGTGGTGGTAAAACCCTAAACCCTGGTCCGAAACCGACCCATTTAGGGCATTGCACGGATGTATTGTGGCTAGCAAGCCGTGCACCGGGTAGTTGCAATTGGGACAGTTGTACGCCCATGAACGTACGTAGGCGGAATGGTGAGTACTGAAACAGTTCGACAGCACTCAATACTCTGTGAGAGCAGCGGAACAAACAAACGACTATGTATCTGTATATGAATGAATGGTTGCCTAATATTTAATTCATTATCGGACGAGATTCGTTGTCATGCTGTGGTATGTGGTAACACTTTGTAGGTACACTCCCACTCCTCTATCGTCGAGTTTGAAAAAGTGTGAAAGCGAATCAGGCATATTTCGGGTATAGGTTGTATAGAACGTAGTGGCGCTGAGTGAAACATATACGGCACAAAGGGCAGTCAGATCAGAAGCCAAGCAAAGAGCACACACACTCCTATAGCCCCTGCGCATAAAACACCCATGTATAGACACAACCGACTACTCATGCACACACATTACATCCTCGCCTACCATGCAACCACGCAAACACGGTTGCAGATGCAATGATGTTACATACACAACACACGTACACATAGGTTATACACCTATGTCTCCACAGGAATGTACAACCGTCGCATGCAAGTACAACACAATAACAAAGTGTGGCGTAAACACACCTATGGCCGCATCTCTATTGGTATGGTAAGCCCCACCTCACCTCAGTTAATTGTGCGCATACATATATATATATATATATATATATATGTATATATATATAGTGTGTGTGTACACATACACACCTATGAGTCGTATCCAGAGCGATCCGTTTGAGCATGGCTGCTGCTTTGGCCCACTCTTGGTTGCGCTCATAGGCATTCGCCACACACTCACTGATAGCCGTCACCTGCACGTCAAAGTTCACAGACCGATGCGACACCCTTTCGAGTGCGTATTCGCCTACACAGATGGCACTCGCATCGGAAACTCTCACCAGAGTCTTTGTGGCAAAATTAGTCAGCAGTGTACGTGATAGCAGCACTCCAGTGTCTTCAGCTACCACTACAGGGTGGTGTGGGCGCGATACAAGTATTAGGATGACAGATTGGTGGTGTTAATTGCAGTGTAAAATAGATTTGCATCCAAATATCTATGTAGGCAAATGTATCAATCCTTTTTTTGGTATAAATATTAGCATAGAAGTAACATGCGTATATAGAAACTTCAGCAGAGTGCGTGGCAATACGACAAGTCAATATAATCCAATCGATATATATAGTATTTCTATATCTTTAAATATATTTATTTATTTATATGTATATATATATATAATAAATACATATGTATATTTATATATATTT